AGACGCACATACCAAATAAGGAGCACAATGACAATCCAATGATAATAAAAAAATAACTGACCTTATCTGCTTTTATCTCCTCCTCCAAAGCCTTTCTTTTCTTCTAAGATGAAAAAAAATGGTAAAAAAAAACAATAAATACCTATGTGTGTGCTCAAAAGAAAAGGTGTGCTAAGAGAAAAGTGAAGAGAAAGAGTGCATCCTTTTGAGAGAAAGAGAGAAAAGTGAGGAGAGAGATAGGAAAACGATGTACGAGGTTTTGGGTATAGAGAGAAAGAGAGGAAGTTTGTTGAGTGTGTAATTCTGAAACTGTTAGTGAATTTTTCTCCCTCTTTCGTGGACGTGAGAAATTTTCTCGAACCACCTAAATCTTTGTTTTATCTATTTTTTTGTTATTTTTATTTCAGTTTATATTTCTGTTGCGTAGGTGTAATAGTGTGTTTTTCCGTAATACATCTTTCATATTTTCTGACTTCTTTCCTTGCAGCGCTTTTAGTAATTCCTGCTGAATTAGAACATCTTTCATTGTACTCTGCCAGATGCTGAAATTACTTTTTCTTTCAAACTGCTCAATCTGCTCAAACTTTATCCTGAATATCATCTTGACTTTATTTTTTTAATCTTCACCAATCTCCTGATACCAATTGTTGGTGAAAAACACACCCGTACACCCACGAGCAGAAAAATAAATTGAAACAAAAAAATAATAGAGAAACAAAGAAGACAAAGATTTAGGAGGTTCGAAAAAATTTCTTACATCAACGGAAGAGGAAGAAAAAATCTCATTAACAGTTTCAGAATTACACACTTAACAAACTTTCTCTCTACCTAAAATCTCTTACACCATTTGCCTATCTCTCTTCTTACTTTTCTCTCTCTCTCAAAAAGAGACACTCTTTATCTGCACTTTTCTCTAAGCATACATAAAGTCTTACATAAATCACTTATTGATAGACCCATAATAAGTCATAAAATAATTCTTGTCCAAAAACTGAAACAGTAATTTACCCAAAAATGCAAACTTATTATTTTTTCAAAACCAATTTGAGTCACTTATCGAACACAAAAAAGAAAAAGAAAAAAAGAAAAAGAGAGGTCCACTAAGAACTGAAAAAAAAGGAGATCAGATTGACTAATCCATTTTAGGACCCAAAAAAAAAAATGAAAATTAACTAATATCTTCAAGTACCATCAAAGTCGTTAATGACAAAGATGGAAAAACTCTGTGATCCATTTTCATTAAAATAGAACAACATGAAGCTTATTTAATTACAAAATAATAAAAAAGCAAGACTAGTGCATCTAAAAGTTACCTATATTTCTAAATTATTGTTGTTGTCAAAGACAGTTTTATTGGATGATCTATAACGTACCAACATGGCAAAGCTTTATAAATCAGCCCTTTAATTATTATTTTATACGAAGTATTGCTCAATTTGTAACTTTGTGACAATATCACGTTTACATTTTTTCAAGCAGAAAATTTTAACTTAAAAAAATTAGAACAAACAAGGAGAAACAACAATATAAAAAGCGAGTTCCGTACCATTGGCTCATTTTAATAAAACAAAAAGTGTTCATCCTTCAGCTTTGTTATGGAAATTAATCAAATCCACTTTTATCCTTTGGCATTCAAATAATCCATCAATGTGTCGTGGAAAGCATTTTTATGTCAATATTTCATAAAAGTAAACAAAAAAAATAAATGAAGTTGAAGCACGCCATGAGTCACTGGTGCTTGGTTGTTGAAGAATTAAGCGAGTAATAAATTACACACTTTTTCACAATTGAGAAAAAAAAAACTCTCATTTTTTTTAATATAGCAAACAAGCATATTTAGGTCCTCTGTTGCAGTTAGGACTGACACTTCGGATAGTAACATAACGATACAACTCAAAATTCATACAAAATTAACGGGTTTGGGTTTACTATAAATGAGTTTGGGTCATAATCAGGTTGACATGATTAACACGATTAATAAATGAGTTGGGTTAAGGTTGACCTCCTAACATAAAGTGACAAAAATTGACACGATTAACTATATGTGTCATCTGTAATCTAATAATATGTTATATAACACGAAAGTTTATATGACATATTAAATATAAATAATGTAAATTTTAATATTTGTCAGTAAAATTCATTTATTTTTTAAAGAAAAAGATAAATTAACTAATAAACATGTTAAAATTAAGAAAGAGAGCTGTTAAGTGACGAAAGAATAAGAGGTGATCAAAATCCACATTGACTCTTTTATGTATTTAAAGATTATTTTTTAAACACTCGTAAAAAGATTAGGAAGTCTTTGGTAGGACAAAAAAAATAAAGTATTGATAGTTTTTTATTTTTAGCTGTTAGATTTGTATAAAAAATTATTTATTTTATATATTTTTTTAATTTAATGTGATTTTAATCAGATCTGACAGTCCCTAAAAAATTAGTGGCCCTACCAATAGAAAAGTTCAATCGGCGAATGTCCCAAAAATTACATTATAAAAAATTACTTTCATATGACTAACGTAGAATAAAAAATAGTGATTTTGACCAAAAACTGTTTTCAAAACTGTTTTTTTTCCGCAAATTGATCATCTAGTATAATTTTTATTAGATTCAATAATCCCAAAAACTTAAAACTTAGAGGCCATACCGATAGCGCTCTCTATTAGTGAAAGTCCCAAAAAAAAGTCATAAAAAATTACTTTTATAAGAGTAAAGTGAAAAAAATATATTTTTAAAATACACACATAAAAAAGTTGAATTGTACAAAAAACATAGATAAAATATAAAAAAGAAAAACCTTTAAAAGATTAAAAAATAAAAAAATAAAAAAAAGGATATAAACAGGGGACATGTGGCAGGTCTAAAAGAGAAGCACAGTAAAAGAGCCTTTTGACTCTTTTATGTTGAGCAATACTAAGAATAGTATTTAGTATTACCCACTAATAATGTGTCCTTAACACCTACAAATAAGATTCATTTTTACTAATAATAGTACTTAATACTGATAGTTGTCCTAAGCGTTTTTACATTTATGTTTGTTAAGATTCGTTCCTTTTGAGGTAATATTCTTTTTTTTTTACTATTTAAGGTAATATCTTAAATATGTCTCTATTTAAACAATTTTTTCTCTTAATTACTATTTCTAATATACATCGCTTAATTAGTTGCATGTCACATTTGCCCCTAAAATAATTTTATTCATATATTTTCTACTTGTTACCCATGTTTAGTTTAAAACAATATTATTTTTCAAATGTGCTTTTAATAAATATTTTTTTTTTCTAATTTACCAATTGAAATATTTTTTTTCTTAAATGTATTAATTTTTGAACATCGTGTTTCCTAGAAACCAATTAAATACTACTTTCTCGTGTGTACCCATTAAATAATTACTGTCTAATTTACTTCACTAAAACTTTTTTTAAAGTACTCCATTTAAATATATATTTTGCTAAATTTAGAGAGTAATAAATTAAGAAAAAATTAAAATTTTAAGATAATCTTAGATCTTCATGCGTTGAAAAAAGTTAACAAACCCAATAAACACGTGCGTGGCAGTACTTATAACTAGTGTAAAGAAGTGAGAGAATTAAAAAAAAAGGGCATTTTTCTAATAAACCTGGTCTACTAGTGTCATTTTGTGAACGTTAAATTAAATTAAAATTACATTAAATTAAAAAATATATAAAATAAATAATTTTTAATAGATTTGACGGCTTAAATAAAACACTACTGGTAGTTTCATCTTTTCAGCCAACTTAATAGAGTGATCAAACGGACCGTTGATGACCCAAATAGTTACGGCTGCGGAAATTCCAAACAACTTGATCATATCCAAACTTGAAAAATATTAAAATCTATAATTTTTGTTGATATAATTAGCAAAATAAGTAGGAATAGTTTTCATATTTGAGTATATAATCATATATGTTTTGAGTGTGTGTCTTGAATAAAAGGGTAGATAAGTAAATTTTTACTTTTTGTTGTCGTTGTTGTTGAATAAACCGTAGATTTTTACTTAATCTTGGAGTTTTAATTTAAATAACTTTTTAAATGAGGTGGAACAATTTTTACTTTGTGCACTTATCAATGGTGAGGAAAACATGGATTGTAATCCGTTTGATTTATATTTTTCTAATTAGTTAGAATCAATATTTTACGACCTCTTTTCAAGTCTCAATTATAATTGATACTAATATTTTGTGTGTTCTTTTGTCTATTTCTTGATTTATATTTTTCTAATTAGTTAGAATCAATATTTTACGACCTCTTTTTAAGTCTCAATTATAATTGATACTAATATTTTGTGTGTTCTTTTGTCTATTTCTTTTTTTTTCTCTTAAAAACAAAATAAAGTCAAAACAATTAAATTATAAATATATTCATGTAATATAACTAGGTATGATTCATGATTGAATATGACATTTAGCTTTTATAAATATATGAAAGAAATAGACAAATTAGAGACACTTATTATTACAAAAACTATATTCACATTAATAAAATGACAAAGTTTTAGAGAGAATCACGATCAAAATCCAGAGAAGTGAAAAATAAGAGGAGATGAGCGAAAAGAGCTTGAGGGTAGACCGTAAAAGTATTGTTAATACTGTATATATAGATTATGATAAAACATTTTAAAGTTATGATCATTTAATTTTAGAATAAAAGAGTTTTTTAAATATAAATAATTTATAGATATATTAAATGCATATAATTTTAGAAAAAGTTATATACATAGAAATTGATTTGGTTTAGTTTGATTTTTTTAAGGATAAACCACAAATTAAATCAAGTTAATTGGTTTTTTTAAAAAATTAAATCAAACCAAACGGATTATTAATTGGTTTGGTTTGATTTTTTTTAGTTTGACTGGATCCAAAAATCAAACCCAGTAGAAATTAATAAGAAAAAAAACAACAGGAAATTAATAATCTATCCTTTTTTTAAGAGAGAAAAACACGAAAAAAGAAAAAGAAAAAAAAATAAGATGAGAGAAAAAGAGAAAAAGAAGAAGAAATGGAAAAAAAACGGTCCACTGGTGTTGTGGAGTAAATGGTGAACGGAGACGACGAGGTCCTCCTTAACAGTTAACTCCCCATCTCTCTCTCTCTCTCTCACATACACAGCAATTCCAGATCTTTCTCACTCTCTCTCTCTCTCTCTCTAGGTAACTTCATCTGTCTCTTTCTCTCTCTACACCAACATACGCAAATTGTTGATTGAATCAACTATCCGATCATTCTCAGCTTCTTCGTTTCGATTCAATTCTCGCTTCTTCCTTTTCATTGATTTCGTATCTGTTTTGTTCTTCTCTGATGTCTTTATTATTTTCATGAATAACTTCCATTAAATTCCTCAAATTTCGGGATCACGCACAGAATCGCTTTTGTTTCCGAGATCAAATTTGCCGTTTTTCGTGTTCGACACAAAGCAGAATGTAATATTCAGTTTCGCAATCGCAGATTCCGATTGATTTCTATGGCTTCTGTCAATAGGTGATTGGGATTTCTGAATTGAATTGGCGTTCGTATGAGCGGGTGATGGTAAGAAGAGTGGAAGTTAATAACAGGAAGAAGAAAAAGAAGAGGAGGAGGAGGAGGAGGAGAGGGCAGTGATATGTCTTGTGGAGGCGGCGGCGGCGGCAGCGATCGATGTAGTTGCGGGAAAGCCGGGGGTGTGGCCGTGAATTTGCAGAGAATGAGCTCGATTGTGCGCGACATTGGCGAGCCCTGCCTCTCTCAATCGCCTATCAAGGTTTCTGTAGTCGTAAGTCCTCTTAATATCAAACCCCGAATGGTTATCTTGTTTGATTTTTGTTCTGTAATCACTGTTATGAGCTGCTGACTTTTTTGGTTTTTTTGTATGTGAATTTGCGAGCATCCAAATTAAGTAGCTTAGAATGACCTCTTATTCGATTGAAAGTTGGGAGCTTTGCTTCATAAACATTGTTCAAAACAGATCGAATATGTGTTGCCTTATTTAGCTAAAGCGTGAGGAATCCACTTCGCATTATGCTTGATTGCTTACTAAAACAGACTAAAGGTTCGGTTTAAGGTTGTCTATTGAAATTCAGGGTGAATGATGATTACAAGGACATGATCCAAGTGCATTTCTTGTTTTTGTTTCACTTGATACACGATGAGAGACATTTGCAATGTTGGTTAATGTCTTATAGTGGTTAGGTGGGTAAACTAACAATGCATGACTTGAGACTTTAAGTGAAGAATACTGGAGAGCACTCCTCTTTCCTTTTGCCTACATTGGGTGGGTGTAAGATCACCATGGCATTCTGACTGCTGGGCCATGCTTGGCCTAGTACTTTCTTTCTGTACCACTTTATGAGTTTATGTTTCATTAGGCCTATTATAACAAACGTTTAAAATGGCCAGCCTAGGTAATAAAGGCATTTTGCTTTCGTGAAGCAAGGTACAAGGCTTAACTAAACCATGAGATAATAATAATAGTAATAAGGACTGAGCATTCAAAACCAAAAGCCATAAACCACGAGGCTTAAGCAAAAATCACTAAAGTTTAATTAGTTATAAAGCTTTTAAAAAGCTTTCCTTTTATTTTAATAGGAAAAGCATTGGTAGTCTTAAACTCTCAAAATCAAACTTGTAAAATTGTTTCTTTCATTCGAAAGTCATTTCAACTAATGATGCTTAAACAAAAGGACTAAGGTGTAAGCTCGGAGTACACGTCACAAAAAGAGGCGCCTGGCTTATTTTTTCCTCCTTGAGGCTTGCTATAGTGCCAAACTTATAGCTTTATTGACACGAGCCTTGAACAAGCCTTTAAACACTAAGACGTACATAGGAAAACTTTTTCTCCATTTCTAAATTTTGTTTCTTCTTTTCATGTTATTTTCTTTTGTATCTTAAAACAAGGATATTAGTTCTTTTGTATGCTTGTCTGCCTTTTCTGTCAGAAAAGATTTGGAAGTTCCTATCAGCTACTTAATATTTTGAATATTTTTCATGTAATATAGTACTCATTTCAATCATTTAGAAGTAAAGGAGGGAGTTCTTGCTCTCGACTATTGTGTTTGATTTGATGCAAAGATATTTAGGTGTTTGTATTATTGTTTAAAAAAAAAATCCAATAAATTATTTATATTCTTCATCTGCTATATTACAATAGATGCATTACTGTTTTCAACTTAATTGTTAATTATGCAGGCAAACAAAATGCTAAAGCCGGAGAAGTGGCATGCCGCATTTGACAGTGAGGGAAAGATTTTTTGTTTTCAGAAGGCACTTAAACGAATAGTTTTGGGGGTATGTTATATAAAAGTTTAAATTTTCTTAGCCTCTATTGTGGGTATATTATCTTATGTTAGTGATCAACCTTCTTTGTGCATTTGTAAACATAATTCCGCTTGAACAAGAAAAGGATCTAGGCAGGAATTTAATGAGGAAGAATGACTATGCATGGTGGCTATCATATAGGTGTAAGAGATTTGATGAAATTTGAGCCTTTTCCTATATATACACGAGATGTGTTTCCTTCCTGACTTGTTCAAAACCAAGTGCTGCATCTTTTTTTTTATTTTTTATTTTATTTTATTTATATCTAGAAATCCCCCGAACCCATTTTGTGAACCCGAGTTTGAAACTAGAGCCTTCCACTAAACCCTAGGCAGGAAACTGACGCTGTCATTTAGTTCCTTGTGAGGTGGTCTAAACCCCAAACCTTATGGTAGCAAACCAAAGGCCTGACCATCCCAACTAACGCCCCATAGATAACCAAGTGCTTTATTTTCCTTTAATGATCTCATGAATGTTAAGAGCACTCTTTAATTTAACTACAATTGGACTGTTGGAGGTACTAAGACAGAATATATTTTGAGTAAGTAACAAAGATGTTGAGAAGAGAAAATAGGAGAAAGATGTATTCGGAAGATTAGGATTTAGATTGTTGATACTTGGCATATGTGTCTATCCACCTGGGCCTGAGACTACTGTGGAGGTGACACATGTTGCCCTTTCACATATTGAACATATTGAAGCACTGGTGGGCTTGTCATGTTTGCCAGATATTGAGAATTCAAGATTTGTTAGCGGGACTGCTAATGATAGTTATGCTGTGGATAACAATTTGGTTAACTGATATAGGCTAACCTCCTAAAAGCTTAAGTTTTTCGAAAAGGCGGTGGACTAATAGAATCAACTTTGAGAAAATCAAATTTATTGTTATTATCCTCTGCAACAGTTATTGTTGCCCGTTTGGTATCAAATATATGTGGTCTATTTAAAGACTTCTGTCTTCTGATTGAAGTGAACTTTATTTGTCGCATGCTAGGGTGTGGATCCATCTATTAGGCCAGAAGTATGGGAATTTCTACTTGGTTGTTATGCGCTTGGTAGCACTGCAGATTATCGAAGGCAATTAAGGACAGCCCGAAGGTTCTGAATCCTTGCACTTCTCTTTTTATTTTTTTTATTACTTAATTCTTTTGATCTGTGGTTGATAACAAATGCTTGTTGATTGATCCTCATTCAGGCATGTGTGACTGTGGTCCTCTTCATCTTCAAATGTTTTTAGTCTAATTATTACATCGAAATTCTTAGTGTTTCCCTTCCTTGGTATTATTTCCCCTCCCTCAAATTTTTTTATACACGTACTTTTATGATGATGAATCAATTTCTTTAGAGGAAACTTTGAAGATTGCAAATTTTACTCAAATGATAACACTTGTTTCATTGGATTGCTTAGTTAAATGTACCATGTAAGTTTTGATTAATTTGAACTTTAGGAGTTTACTTCTGATGGCAGAATTTGCTCACATGCTCACGGCTATGAGGCCCTATTTGCACCTTTTATCTTAAAAGTTTGTCCATGTACTTTTTTGTTATCCTTATTGTTTGATAAAACTGGTTATGGTCAGAATATGGCATCGTCAGGCACAATGATTTTAGTAAGTAGCAGAGTTTTCTTGCAAGTTTGATCCTTGATAGTTGGATACCTTTGTTAATATGTATACATACATACATATATATATATATATATATTATAAGAAACAGGAAAGTTACCTTTGCTAATTTTTTTAAAACGCCATTGTTGATTAACTCTGGCCATTCCCAGATACATCTTCTCCTTATATATCACCTTGTTTGCTGAATGTGCAATATAAATAAAAATTTTGATTTGTTGTTGTTTAACAAGTTTTATTGAACTGCTAATTCAGGGAACATTATGAAAACCTGATGAAGCAGTGCCAAATGATGCATTCCAGCATTGGAACTGGTTCGCTTGCTTATGTCGTGGGATCTAAAGTTATGGATATGAGGGCTCCATCAAGTGATAACGGAATAACAGAACCCGATACTGAAACAAAACGATCTTCTGTTGATAATGCTAACAAAGTAGAGGGTACATGCTATAGAAATAATGATACAGAGATGTCATTTGCATGTCATAGTGAAAGTTCTAGTGATTCAGGTGACCTCATCAGTGTGAGAGGAAGTTCAGGGACTGCAGCATGCGAATCTTCTCTGTTCAAAGAGACTTCTTGTTCGCAGAACTACAATACCCTAAATCTGGAGAGAGAAGGAGATGGATCACAGGGTTTATATCTTGATTTTCCTCCTTTACCAGTCACTGATTTATTCGGAAAAAGTGAAGAAGATAAGAAAGAAGGCAACGTGCAGAATGGAAAACTTTCTCAACATAAATTGAGATGTAAAGATAATCGAATGCACAGTTTTCAAATCAATAATAATGTAGACTTAGTTATTGAATTAAATACCTCACCATCTAACAAAGTCTCACACCCTGTTGACTCTGAAATTGAAATGGCTCGTGCTGATGTCCGTGAACCAATATTGCAGTCCAGTAATATTGATAAGAAGACCGAAGTAGTTAACAGAATGAGAATATCAGATGTACCGGAAGCAGACTTTGTAGATGGAACTTTGCCTCAAGGAGAGGCCGTGAATAAAGATAGAGTATCTGAATGGCTTTGGACTCTCCACCGAATAGGTCAACTCCTCCTCCATTTCATACTTACACCTTTTATTTTATGTTTCTTTAACTTTTTATTTCCCTTTGATTTTGGAAGGAAGGAAGGCGACGTACTTCTTTTACAGTTATTATTGGAAATTTTTCTTAAAGCATTCTTTGAACTGACAATCTTCTTTCCCCAGTTGTTGATGTTGTGAGAACAGATAGTCATCTCGAGTTCTATGAGGATACTAGAAATTTAGCTAGGATGTCAGATATTCTTGCTGTTTATGCATGGGTTGACCCTGCAACTGGTTACTGTCAAGGTTCTTTCTCTCTCTCTCTCTCTCTCTGGTGAAGAAAAAGAGAGAGCATTTATTGAAAAAGAAAAATAAAAAGTACTACGAAATCTAGGAGGGTTTTTATTTTTATTCTTTTTAATAGCATATATTGTTTTAAATTTTAGATAAGTTTTCTTTCTGTTTCTTTTTTCAATTACATGTTTCGTATTACCTATGATAGAGATCTAAGACTTTAAAAAAATTTATCTCATGCCACAATCATATGTTTACCTTTAGATTGGAAATGTGATTTAGGTATGAGTGATTTGCTGTCTCCTTTCATTGTTCTGTTTGAGGATGATGCTGATGCATTTTGGTGCTTTGAGATGCTTTTAAGAAGAATGGTAAGTGTAAGCTTGATAAACATTTTAATTCTTTATGTTCTTTCTTTGATATTTTGCTTTTGAAATCCCCCAGCGTGAAAATTTTCAAATGGAAGGACCAACTGGAGTGATGAAGCAGTTGCAAGCATTGTGGCATATATTGGAACTCACTGACAGAGAAATGTTTGCTCATCTATCACATATAGGTGCTGAAAGCCTTCATTTTGCTTTCCGGATGCTGTTGGTACTCTTCCGCCGGGAATTGCCATTTAATGAGGCTCTCTGTATGTGGGAGGTTCGTATACTTTAGTTGCTTTTAAATGCTGGATTTAGGAGAATGAATAAAACGTTGTTTGGACCAGAAAACCATGAAAAATATTTGATAGATATACAAATGATATGCCCTGTGATATATGGACTTATGAAGCAGAGACAGTTAGAACCAGTGAAGGCGGGAACTCCTATCATAGAGAGTGAAGTGGAGAAATAGGTGGTAGTGTGTGTTATTTAGACTGGGGAAACGGGAAGTGAGATGGAGCAGAATCAAAATGCAGTCAGCATTCAAGGCAGAGAGAGAGATTTTGATATATCCTGCACTTTGTTTGTGCTTTACTGTTTCTTATGATGTGTTTGTTATTGAATTCTTTGTGTCCTGTCCTATAACGGGGAAATTTAGGGAAAGTGCAGTGGATGAAATTAGGCTAATTGGGCTATGGTGTTGCGGAGTATCTAGTAGTTAGACTATTTAACTGTAAATGTCGCCGATGATCTAGCCTTTTATTCCTAAAGTGTCTCTTATGACTTAGAATCTTTCAATTTTATTGTACTAGTGCTAATCCAAACTGCAGATGATGTGGGCTGCTGATTTTGATGAATCCTTGGTTCATGACTTAGAGGAGAATTGTCTAGAAGCATTGGTCATAGAACTTCCAAGGGATTCTGAATCTGAAATGAGGGATGAAAGTGTAGAGAGCAGTAGAAGTACTACTAAAGGGAGCTTACAGACAAATCATGAAAATGTTGACTGGTCCGTGACTGCTGAGAATGGAATAAAATCGGCAGCAACCCATCACTTCTGTGGCTTGACAAGGCATTTTTGGTCAAGGAATGGTACCATGCAGATCGCTGCTGCAGTATCATCAACTAAGAGAGGGGATGATGAGTTACCTGTCTTTTGTGTTGCAGCAATCCTTATCATGAACCATCAGAAAATCATTAGAGAGACCCGTTCAATTGATGATATGATAAAGGCAGGTGCATTGATACCAAGTATTTGGTTTCTTACGGTTACTAAATAGTAACTAATTTTATTTACCCCCTCTCATAGCTGGAATTAGCACTGTTAAGTTTTACAGTGGCCAGTAAATAATTCAGCTGGGAGATCCAAGCTGATTGTCCGGAAGCCAAGTGTTCTAAATTTTTATGTTTTTTATTATTTTTTTGCTTTTATTATTTATTTTTCCATCTCTTTTGGTTGTCTAGTAAGAATAGGTTCGTGTGATATTAGGTAAGCATGGAAGCAATGAGTTTTGTATTACCCTCTAATTTAAACATTGGCCTTGGCTTTCAGTCCTAATTTCAACTTGATAAGTGTATGGATGGCGATGATGTTTTAACCTTCTTTGTTATAAAGGGTTTGTATCATTTTGGGTCAAAATTTATGTCTGAATGTGCTTGACCTTGTAACAAATCTTTATTCATATGGTATATTTGCCATTGCTATGAGAAGCTAAAAAATAAAACCCATTCAACTTCTTTAAAAACATCTTTGTCTGCTATTCTCTATTGCAGTTCAAGTTTATTTATTTTTTCATATAGTGGAAATCCATAACAAGTTGACAATGTTTATCAATTTCAGATTTTCAACGATAAGATACTGAAGATTAGTGTAAAAAGATGCGTACACACTGCAATCAAGCTTCGGAAAAAATATTTCTACAAGGTTGGCTTCTCCTTTGTTTACATCTATTTTTTCTCTTGCTATCATTAGAGATGGCACTTTATGTTTTCTTGCATTTTCTGGGTTCTATTGATGTAACTTTTAGCACTTGCGATGATTCTTATTAGCATGTCAAATGAAAAATAAAGTGAGACACAGAGAATCTTGCTCTGGCTAGTGGCCTTTCTGGTGCATAACAACAGCAATGTTACAGTACTTGATTTTTTTTTCCGCATGTAATCAAATATTATTTTATTTTTTTCTTCAAATTGTTATTTTCTCATTGAGAATGGAAAATGTTCTGATTTATAAACGTTTTAAAGTATTACTTTCTCTAAGCCCTACACGCGTGACTTGAAAACATTTTAATGAGTCTGTTCACATGACCAGAGACATACAAATTACATTTTTGTCAAAACAAAGAAAGTAATGCTGTTCGTTTCAGTTATTGGTTTAAATAAGTTAGTGATCGTTCAACTATCAATTGCTCCAAGTAACTGTAATAATTAAAGTGATAACCACACCAGGCTTTGTGATCTAAAGAACGCAGAAACCAGTATTTATGGCACTGCCATTGTAGTGTACAAAGGAAATAGTTTTTACTTGGTTCATGCTTCTGTTGAACTTAAATTCGTATATTCATTTAGATATATGTATGTTTTTGAATCAGCTTATCAAAAGAAAGAACGCTGCAGCAAGGAATGGTAACTAATGTGATCATATGAAAAATTGATCATTGGAAAGGCGTTGTGATTGGTTTTGCAAATTGTATTAGTAGTTCTCAGTATGGCAATGCAAGTAGAATTGCTTAAAACTGAAGTTCTACTGACAATTTGCTTCCTTTTACCACTTCGTTTTTATCTCCTTGACATCCTTTGCAAGGTACTTATTGTTGGTTTCTCTCTACTTTTACACCCATATTTATAGTTCAATAAATGGGAAGCATATTGCATGCATTCTGAGGGTACCAGTTACTTATGGTGCGTTTGGAGTAAGGATCCGTGTCATGGTTCGTGGCTCGTTACAGTATTTTTTCTCACAAAAAATACACGTAAACCGAGAATAGTTATGAATCCATGAATCAAACGTCTTCTTAGAGAGGCTATTTTGCTTTTTCTTTGTTTTATCTCTCCTTTCTGTAGAAGGGGTGGTTTTGTGTATATTACAGATTTTAAGTTTTCAATAGAATGAGATGAGATGATGTATATGAATTTGCATAAAAACTAATAATTTTACTGTAATTTAAAATGCGTATGGCAAGTAAATAATTGATCATTTAACGAGATTGGTTGGCATTTTGGTTTCAAGTTATCTATAGACTAGATTAGGGATCAGGACCCTCGTGATTTCATAGATATCTGGAAGATTTTAGCTTTTCTGCCCTTTCCATTAACTGGGTTCCTTTTGTGGCTCTAACGTAATCTCATAATTGTCCTTCATAAGCTCAATCCAGTTTCAGTAGTAACTGCCGTTAAGAGGGACCCTCTTTTGCAGTGTGAATTTTTTATATGTGACATCAGATGCATAATATCAACTATGGGATGCGAAAATGTGAATTTGAGTTCAAATAATTCATTAGCAAAATTTTTTTAAAAAAAAAAGTGTCAATAAAGCTTCACCGTTGATATTAAGGAATATTTTGACTAGTTTTTACCGTGATCTATTGAAACTTTACAAGGTATTTTACACAAAGCTTATGCTTGGACCACTTTATCTACCAGTCTGAATGCCTATAGTTACTCTTTGAAGTCCTTGTAATTATGTCTTATTTTCATCTGAGAATTTCTTTAGCTAAGTTATTCATTGACAGACAACGTGGAAAGGAGGGATCATGCATCATTATGGACGTTATATTTTCAGTTCTTAACAAATTTGTCTCCTTGTAGATTGGGGCTTTTGTATCCTAATTGAAATTATGCTGCAGTTATGCTTAGTGTTAACATTGTATTTATTTATTTTTCCAGGAAAAAAATGGAAGATTGTATTTAGTTTATTTACACGGCAGAATATGCGTTATAGAGTTTAATTGCATTTATGTTTGAACCCAACTCCCCTCATTTTATGCAGCCCCCTTTTGTTGCACTGATTTAACTCAGTTTAGATTAGTTTGAACAGTAAGCACAGCTTAAACTTGTGTTTGGTAAGCACACAGTCTGAATTATATTCTCCGTTTGAACTAAGTTAAACTGTCTAACTTAGAGTTTAGCTATTCCTTTAATGTTAACCGTTCAAACCATTTTTGAATAGTAAAAAAGTGTCAAATCTCTCTGCTTTATACACCTACCAAACACTCATTCAAATTTTATTTTCTGTTCAAATTAAAATTTTAACTGAACATCTAAACGCCAATTCAAACTACAATTTAAACCACACGGTTCGAATTCTTCTGTTCAAACAAAAAGTTCAAATTAACAAAATTCGAATCAGTGAACTAAATGGGGGGCAAAGTTACTCTTAACTCACAAAGCACTGAGCACTTGGCAAGTCATGTGCATTGATATGTTTTCCTTATAATATTTTCCATAATTCATTGCGTCTATGGCCTAGTCTATATTAGGATCCTGGTTGAGTCCCACATTACTAAAGTATGAGTTTAGCATGTGGGCTTATAACCACTTGGGCACCCTCTCCCTACAAGCTAGCTTTTAGGGATGAGTTCTACCCAAGGGTCAATTGGTATCAGAGCCTGCCCCACCTCAGGCCCACATTGCGGAAGGGGTGACCTGGGGAGGGGCGACCTGGAAAGGCCAGACTGGGCCATCCAGAGTGGGCCGCTGTGGACGTCGGTGTTGGAAGCGTGGTGGTATTTTAGGATCATGGTTGAGTCCCACATTGTTAAAGTACGGGCTTAGCATGTGGGTTTATAACCACTTGGGCACCCTCTCCCTACAAGCTAGCTTTTGGGGATGAGTTTTACCCAAGGGTTATAACAGACTATGCCCATAAATTATTATAATTTTTATTTTATTTTTTATTTTACTTTAGATCTTTCCATTAATTATTATATTTTTTTAATTTTTTCTTTTACTGTAGATGAAAGTACGTTTTTAGAGCATACTAGTACAATTCGGTTGATTTGATTTGAAATTCCTTGAAGGAAGTCATTGACTTCTGAAATCTCCATTTCCTTAATTATTTATTTCTTTCTTCTGTGTCTTTTGCTCCGTGGGCGGAGGCTGAATCTTTTTAGTTTGCAGTGAGTTGGTGTTTGCTCTATGTTGATTTTTGCCTGTTTTCTTGGCTTTAGGCAAATCTCAATCCAATGCATGTGAAAGCTTACATTGTTTTCTCTGTTTCTCTGTTTATCTTTCCTTCTCTCCATCTCTTTCTTGAGCAGTGAAGAGAGTATAAATGGTTAATTGCGCATCAAGGCTCGAGCAGTTAGATACGATGGACATCTCACAGGTCTGACGATTGTTATTAATCTTTGTGTAACTTAATTTGGAGAGAAAGTTTGTACTCAGAATTTTGTTAGCTTATACATTTGCAAATGCAAATACACACACAAGCACATAGAGTGATCTCAGTTATTGGAAAGTTGAACAAGAAATAGAACAAATAGAATTCAAATACCAAACTCATAATTTTTGGATCTTTGTTGAATAATCTTATTTGTGAATAGAAAACTGTAAAGATGTCTTTCCCCCTCCACATTTGTCATTATCAGTTATTTCTCTATAAGCAGCAAAAAACAATACAATCCATATTATCGCCCTTTTTATCTGTTCCAATATTAAAACCACCAAACAGATAACTCTTTATACTCCCACCTACTTAAGATAAGGGTTATCCTTATTTGTAAAGGAACAATTCAGACGTATCTCCCCTTGATTTCCAGTCAAAACGTTTATACTTCCCATTCGGCTCATCGAGAGAGCCCATGACTTTCGGAAATCTTCAAAACCAGAGGCAAACTCTTTGGTAATTTCCTTCGTGTCATTTCCATAGAGTAACTGCTGATCAATTCCAAGAACAGCTGAATTGTTTGATATTCTTCTGTAGTAGGATTCCGTGAAATTGTAATGGGCGCCAGATTCTGGGTTTAGATACACAAGTGGGTCACCTTGGCCCTTCTTTACTCTCTCTGGACATTTCTTCTTCATTTCCTCGCTCAAGTATGGATCCATTGTTGGGTCTGGTTTTCCGGTACCACTGTAATTGTATAGCCGGTCTTCGATGTTCCGACAATGTGTTCTTCCCATTGTGTGTGCCCCTGAAGAGAATGCAGGTATGTTTAGTGAAAAACGAAGACAGGCCTGCTTTAGGTGTCATGCCTTGAAAACTGGTATTTCCTATTGATTTCACTTATACAGATCCTTGTAATGTTGATTATATTCATGCTAAATCATTTCATGATTGTACCTTTTCGATCATTTGGGAGAGGCCGTGATGTTCTTCTAGAGTGTTAGTAAGTTAATGTTTAAAAAAAAAAAAAAAGGGAAGTTAGTTAGGTTGGTCATGCTTATTGGGACTCATATAATAGTCGCTTGTCAAAATTGATCAAATTCTCCTTCACAATTGCAACATATATCAGAACTTTCTTTTCTTTTCTTCTTCTTTTTTTTTTTTTTTTTCCTCCATTTTCTAAACTAAGATATGTTTGGTTTCCTGGGATACAAGAAATTACGGAGAAAAAAAAAAAAAAGGGAAGTTAGTTAGGTTGGTCATGCTTATTGGGACTCATATAATAGTCGCTTGTCAAAATTGATCAAATTCTCCTTCACAATTGCAACATATATCAGAACTTTCTTTTCTTTTCTTCTTCTTTTTTTTTTTTCCTCCGTAATTTCTTGTATCCCAGGAAACCAAACATATCTTAGTTTAGAAAATGGAGGAAAAAAAAAAACCCCAAAAAAAGTTGCCTTTTAATGATTAAGGTCTCGTTTATTTCACCGATTCGAGTTTTCAGTTCTAGATTTTTACAGTTAAAAACTCTCAGTGAACTGTCACATCTAACTTTTTCTATTACAGTTAAAAGTTTTAAAAGAAAATGTCACATCTCAGTTCGAATTGAAAACTCGAATCCGCAGAGTGAACGAGGCGTAAATTTTGGTAGTGGAAAGCGTCTTACCAAGTAATGTTACCATGTCCAGCACATCTAAACCTTTAGACTTAAAGTAAGCAGTTGCTGCTTCCAATGAAATAGATGGTGAGGGTATATCCACTGATGAAGCTTTTGATGTCATACCATCCCTTCTTCCAGTGTAAACGGGATAAGACGGTGCACCTGCCTGCTTTCATTCAACAAGATTATAAATTATAATAAATCCCAAGCACACTTTACAATGGTTTAAACGGACATTTCATCTTAAGCTTATTTATGCCCTTTTATTTGACGTTCCACAGCTTTTCCTTCGTTTATAATGTTCAGCAGTGAATACATACAGAAAAAAACACAAACTTGAAACAACAATTGTATCGTCTTTTTAGGGCCAGAAGTTCAAATTTTGTGGTTGCATGCATAGCTTAATAGGTAATTCCGTACCCGACTGCACAAGGTGTAGAGTTTAAAACCCCACAAGCCACCCTAAGTTCAATATATATATATATATATATATTTATATATATATATGTATATTTATATATATTATATAGATGAATAAAATTAAACATTTTATCAAGGATAACAATGCAAGGATGTAATATTCTTCTGAATGACTAAAGGCAGTCTCATGTGTTAATCATAAAAATATGGAATACAAAAAAAAAAAAATAGTGTGTGATTCAACAAAATATTGAAAAAGGCAATAATAAGGATTGAGTGAGAAAGTAAAAGGCCGTGTTTGAAATTGATCTCGTTTTTATTTTTTACGTTTTTTGAGAAAAAAAAATGAAAACGTTTTCAAAACGGCGTTTGGCGCAATAAAAACAAAAAATGGAAATGAAAATGATTTTTTGGTTTAGTGTAAAATGAGAGAGAAATGAAAAACGACTTTTAATCGTTTTTTATTTTTTGTTTTCGTTTTCTCCTCTCTCGAGCAGAGAGAAAGAGAAAGAGACATTAATGAGTTTTTTTATACTGAAAATAATCTCTTGATAAAAATACTAAACGCATGTTTAAAAATAATTTCTGTCTAAGATTGAAAACGTTTTCATTTTCATTTTCATATAAAAAATAAAATCATTTTGAAACGAATTTCAAACGCGTCCAAAGAATCTTCGTACCAAATGAACTGCATCCCTGGCGGCAAGTTGGATAATGTCAGCACAAGAGACAACTCCAGGGCATCGTTGTTCAAGGACTGTCTTTATCTTGTGTATCAACAAAACACCTCCCAGCCCTCTATTCTGTATTGCTGTTATTTCCGCGTCAGGACCATGGATCAGCAGAATTGATGCGTCACAGCCCTATATATAGACACCCAGCAAATTTTCATTAATATCAAATATAATCATATAAGGACGGTTTAGTTTGCTGATTATAAATTTTAATTTGAGTTGAGATATAACTTTTTATGAGAATTTTTTATTGAAATAAAAAAGTTAGATGTGATTGTTTATGAAAACTTTTTACTGTAGTAATTAAAACTTAAATTGGTAAAATAAACAAGATCTAATCTATCTAATTGTTTAGTGTAAATTAAAGGTGTTTCCAATAAAAAAAAAAGAATACTTTTTTTAGTTAGTTTATTTTAGAAGTGTGATGCGGGTGGTAGAGTCACACGCATGGTAATAACCGGAGACACACATAACTCTACTTAAATTTTAAAATTTTAGATTGTGTTTGGAATTGATCCCATTTTTTTTTACGTTTTTCGAGAAATAAAAAATAAAAACGATTCTAAAACGGCGTTTGACGCAATGCAGATAAAAAAATGAAAATGAAAATGTTTTTTTTTTTTTAGTGTAAAATGAGAAAGAAATGAAAAATCACTTTTAGTCGTTTTTCATTTTTTGTTTTCATTTTCTCTTCTCTCGAGCACAGAGAGAGAAAGAGAGATATTAATGAGTTTTTTTACACTGAAAATAATTTCTTGATAAAACCATTAAACGTATTTTCAAATTTTCAAAAATGATTTCTGTCTGAGATTGAAAACGTTTTCATTTTCATACAAAAAAAAACTAATTTAGAAACGAATTCTAAACGCGCCCTTAATTTTTAATTTCGCGTTCTACCACTCACAATTTATGATAAATATAATTTTGTCTCTAGATGAAATTTCTGACTCCGCCACAATGTTTTGATATTGTCTCTATAAGTAATTTCTGACTCCGCCTCAATTCATTTTTAATCAAAAACACTCCAAACCCTAATACTCCTTATTGGGAATATATAATTTAAGGACTCGTTTAGTTCGTTGATTCGAGTTTTTAATTTGAGTTGAGATGTGATTTTATGTGAGAAATTTTTATTATAACAAAAAAGTTAGATGTTACTATTTTTGAGAACTTTTTACTGTAGCAAAACTCGAATTCTAACTCGAGAATCGGTGAAATGCATTGGGAAACAAATGCCATTATAGTGTTCTGCTTCTTGTTCTACTTCACTGCAGCTTAGGCAGAAGGTCATCTAGATTAATACCCAAACTGCCCTTGGCTCTCTCCCTCTCTCTCACCCATTTTACAGCTCTTTTTAATTATTCTGATAGCTAGTAATTAGACCAAGTAGTTCATACCATTCAACTAATAATAAAAGGATCCAAACCGGAGAAACAAATCTTATGGAAAGTTAGATCTTAGAAAAGAATTAAAGTGTTAAAAAGAGGCTGATCAAGATGATGGGAAAGTACTACAATTACCGTAACTAAGCAATCCATCGAAGCCAGCCGGAGGAGCTTAGCAGCGATGCTCTTATCGTTACTCCATGATTGGTTCACTTGGTGCTGCACAAAAGTCTCTGCGTTCTTACAAGTATTATGGTGTTTGTAATAATGCCATTGCAACTTCACCGGCTTTTGCAGCGACGTCGCAGCGTCGACAAAACCTAGACATAAGCTTAGCACAACTGCAAGGGCCAAAAGTGGGAGAAAACATGACAAATTCTTTTTTTGGCTTCCCATTTTTGTTTCTCCCACCTTTTGAACTCACTTGTTAATTATATAGTTCTAACAAGTTTAAGCACTTCACCAAGCTTGTGTCTAGCTAAATGTTACCTAGAGCTATATATATATATAGATTTTTGGGGTTTCTACACGTGGGGGGACCGACAAAGCCGAGTTAGATGGAGGTCCCGTTTATTTCACCGATTCAAATTTAGAAGTCGAGTTTTATTATAGTAAAAAGCTCTCAAAAACTGTCATATCTAATTTTTTTGCTACAGTAAAAAAACTCTCACATAAAGTTACATCTCAACTTAAATTAAAAACTCGAATTGGCGAACTAAACATGCCAAAAAACTCTCACATAAAATCACATCTCAACTCGAATTAAAAACTTGAATGAATGAACTAAACGGCTCTTTAGGTGATTTTTTTTAATGGGTTTTTGCTAGTTTCACATTTAAGCAATATAACTGTATGCTTTTAATAAATTTAAGTTTAACCTAGTATGAAGTTACCTTGTGACTGAAGTGTGGAGAAATTAGACTGTTCACATGCACCAAGGTGTTTGTGATATCAACATTCTCGCTTAAAAGCCATGCTAGCTAGCAATGTATTGCATTTAAAGCAAATCGGGCGTTGTTAATTAGGGCGAGGAACGTGCATGCATGTGAGCCGTGCCTTGACTTTAGGGCTTTGACTTTAGTCTTACCCTGTAGGGATTTTGTGATCCAATAATTTTGAGTTAATCAAAGTAGTATGTGTATATATATATATATATATATATATATATATATGACGGGGATGCGGTTACTCGAAAACCACAATTAGTATTTGTTATGCAAAACCAAATAGAGATTTAATTATAATGTCTAGGCTTACATATGGGCCCGTTTAGTTCGCTGATTCGAGTTAATATATGATTTTATGTGAGAGTTTTTTACTGTAATAAAAAAGTTTAATGTGACTATTTATGATAACTTTTTACTGTAACAAAACTCGAATTGATGAAATGAATGGGGCCTAAAAAACTCACCAGGATTTGAGCATCTTTCTTTCGAAACCTTTTATTAACTAGTGTTCTGTAACATCTTAATAAGTATGTGTGGTTTAGTACTTAGTGTATGGATTCTGTATTTTAAACGTGATAGGACACCAAAATATTAAGAAGGGAGTCATTTAAGCCTCGTTCATTTCACTGATTTGAGTTTTTAGTTTTAAGTTTCTACAGTTAAAAGTTCTGAGAAAATGTTACATCTAACTTTTTCTGTTACTGTTAAAAGCTCTCAGAAAATGTCACATTTTAGCTCAAATTGAAAATTCGAATCCGCAAAGCGAACGAGGCATTAATTTGAGGATTCAACAGTAAGATGAAGAAAAGGACCAATTCAGGACAATTTGGTAGATCATAGACTCCTTTGAGACTTTTAAGACGTTAGAATCGGAATAAAATTTGCCCTATTGTCCGGGGAGTAACAAAGAGTATACCCAATAAATTAATACTTGCTGCGTATAAACATGGCTTTTAAACCCTTCAAGTTACATATTCACATAACTTTCATTTTAGGTCAATTGAAAATCACTATTTAATTGATCAACTACGGAAAATAACATATATCTTAATAATATTGGAGTCAAAATGGTAGTTTTTGTATTAAAATTTTATGAGTGCCATGTCGCCTTAAAGCCAGCTAGCATCATTAGATATGTTTTGGTTTGGAGTAATTGAAAGTTGCATCTAAAGAAACTCAAATTAACGATCCACTTGATACTATCGGTGTTAAAAGTACGTTATACTTTTTGACTAATTATATTGCCATCAAATTGTTGATCAATATGGGTTGTAAAGTATGGTTTGATTCTCACTTTGGTTTGGATAGACAAATTTAGCGAAAATTTAGAAAAAAAAATTTCTAAAAGCCAAAATGGGGGAAAGAATGCATTTTTCCTTTTCTAAAGTGTAATGTTTGGGAATTTCATTAGTATGAATCCGAGAAATTTCCCGAATTTTGACGATGAATTTCCTCGTTAAACTGTTGGACTATGTCAACATGATTTTATGATGAAAATTAAAATATTAATTTTGTTACATAATTTAAAGGTTAATTGCAAAATTTTATCGCATACGATGCTATGATTTTATGTGACGAAATTTCTAGAATGAGATGATCCTCATAAATTTTGAAGATGGATGGAAGACTTAAGAGAAAGTTATACTTTAATAACTGGAAGTTACAATTTATGTTTAAATCGGTAATTGGTTTATAAATCAGCTAAATTAATCAGACAAATTCGTGATTAATTACAGAGTAAATTAAAGACAATAGTAACGAATAATTTTGTGTTGCAACTAAGATAGAAAATTATTGGTTGCATCAATATTACTAAGCATAGACCTAGTCATGCCAAACAGTCAGTGTGCAAAGTATATTGGAAATTTGCACAACAGATGAATTTGTGTTGATTTGATTTCATCAAATCAAATAGGTGGATTAGGTGTACTAGGTATAGAGATTTGATGAGAGGTTAAATTCTATTAAGCAACTAGTCATATCTAGGTAATGAAATGCATTAAGAATAATGCTAATATGAGCAAAGGAGATGTGGAAGAACCTTGGGTTAAGATTGTGCACTTAAGGAATAGGAGAATAAGATTATGTATGGTGGACACAACAAAGACAAACAAATAGTCATCATTTCTATTCAAAACCATTAAACAAAAGGGTGCAAAGTAAGTTCAAAATTTTTCTCTTTCCATTTCTCTGTGCAGCCAGTTTTTATAAGGGTTTTTAAGCAAATTTTGTTTTCATTTTAGTCCCTCATGAGTGTGGTCTATAAATAGAATGGGTGGGCATTAAAATTAGTTAATTTTTGCTCTCTTCTCCTAAGTCTTAGAAGCTCAAAATCCTCTCCATTTCTATCTCTCTAAAACTGGCCAGCCTTCTTCCCTTTCTCTCAAAATATTTCTCTCCAATCTCAAGAAGTAAGCACTCACTCCTTAGGCCAAGAGTGGGAGATCAAGTTTAAATAGTTTGGGTAAGTTGTATTTCATCTTTCTAAGTCATTTTTCAAGCTATTCTTGATGCTTTGAAAAAAAAACCTAAGAGTTGGTTTTCCTCCTTTAGAGGATAGAGGTGAGATTTTCAAGAGGAACTAGACATCAAATTGAGGTAAATATTTCAAGAAACTCAACTTTAAATTGTGTTGTTGTGTAAGGATGTGATGCATTTTCTACGTGATTTTTGCCTCTAGAATTGTGATTTTTATTGGTTGATGAAACGAACATCTGATGGTTGTCTTTTAGTGTTTTAGATATGATATTTAAAGGTTGGAAACGTGAAAATATAGTAAGGGAAAATGATTTGTGGTAGACTAATAATAGTCTAATTGTGAAAAATATAAATTTTAACTAGTTTAAGGTGAGACCTAAGATTTGGCATGAGTTATGGTTGTTATGGCATGAAATTATGAGCTTTAAACTGCTAATTTATGGTGTATTGAGGATTGTACGGTTTGGTACAGAACCGAAAATTTTTCAAAAATGAATGTGGATGAAAATGCCCTTAGGCTTTAAAGTGTAAATTTGTGAAGGACGTCCTAGATAAGAGCCGAATTAGGCTTAGGTCAAAGCAGAAAAGATGTATATCTAGACAAATGGAGAAAGTTTCTTGTTTTGAGTTTTTTCAAATTCTGTCCTAATAGAGAATTATCTTGTCTGCAGGTTCTGTTGACCAAACTTTGACCGATGTCAAAATGGTTCAAACAATTAGAATTAGCCTTTGGCCTTGTTTAGTATTTTTTTTTCTCGTAGGAAAATGAACCCATTGATTAAAAAAATCTAGACCATTCTTGAGGGGCAAAAATGTCAAAATTTCTGTCAATATGGTCAAAATTGTAATTTCCAAAAAATTTGGGTAAACCTATTTACAAGAGTCCAGAGCCTTATTAAAACAGTACCGGATTTAGAAAGTCAAACATAGAACTCTTAAATCTCCTGGAAAGCCGTTAGGGGCAAAAAAGTTATTTTGACAATAAAAGATAAAATGGTCAAACTGATACAGAGCTCCAAATTTTAGCTCAAAGCCCTTAAGATCATAATTCTTGGGATAAAAAATGTTTTAGGTTCATCAGCTTAGAATTGTCAAAATCCGCTAAGGGTAAAACGATAAAATTTCCCAAAGTTAAAACGGACAACCAGAACTGGAAAACCCGAGTCTAACTAAATCGTTTTAGAAGACCATTCTTGATGAGTATGTTGATGAATATGTGTATACTATAAATGATGATAATAATGATGATGGTGATGATGATGTTTTAAAGTACGTTGCGTATAGAGTTAAATTGTCTTATTAAAGTTATGTGACGTGATCATAATTGCATGTTCACTTAAATGAGAGGTTAAGGTAATGATGAGATAATAAGTATCGTACCACCTTCCGTTCTTGAGCAATGAGAGGTTAAAATTCCTCCAACTCTTTGGAGGTTAACTGATAAAATTAATGATGGCCTTGGGATAGTCAGACTAAATGTTTAGATCACTCCCCCACTCTCTATGGTCTTGCGCATATGAGTAGTGCACATTGGCCTAAGAAGCATACTTGCATTTTCCTTTACGATGTTATGTTTGAAAAATATTTTTGTGAGAAATATTTGTATTCGCTGAGTTTAGCTCACCAGTTTGCTCATGACGCCTACAACTCATTGTTGAACGAATTATGCAGTGGATACCGCGTTTAAAATGGTTTTGAGTAACGACTTAAGTAATTAGGTTTCTATGTTATGTGCATGAAGATTTTACTAAAACATGTCTTTTTATGTTGAGTTTAAGTAAGTTGGGAAACGGATTGTATTTATAATATTATGCTTTGCTAATATTTTAATACGCACTTATATTTCTGAATGCTAGTAATTCCACAACTTTCATGAATGAAAAATAGTATATTTTAAGATAAGTTTCAAAAAAAAAAATCCTTGAAATTTTGAGTAACTAAGTGTTAAACCTTAAAAGTTAATTAAGTTTTCCGCTATAAGTCATAGTAAGTAAGACTCGGAAAGATAGGTCATTACACTTAAATATATATATATATATATATATTAATATGATAGACAGAATGAGTGATTAATCTTAAAAAAGAAAATGATTAGTAAAAAAAAAACATAAAAATAAGCATTAATTTCATAGATGGTGTTTAAAATTTACACTTAATCTCACTTTAATTCTTGACTTTTCAAACATCGTACAAATAGCCATTGAGATTTTATTTTATTTCAGTTTCGGTATTTCCATCAACTAAGTGTTAAAAGTTGATAGAATATGTATAAATTAGAGTTTAAAATTAGAAACAGTTAAAATTTTAGGTCTATTTGTGAATATTAACTTTAGTTTTTTATATTATTTTAGTCTCTGAACTTTATATGTTTATAATTTTAGTCTATAAGTTCTATAGATTATGTCAAATATTTAACACCAAATTAATAGAATGACTGAAACTGAAATAACATAAAACTTCACAAATTAACTGTGTGATATTTAAAAAGTCAAAAACTAAAATGAAATCGAAGCTAAACGTCGTGTATCATAAAGCTAAATGGTAAAAAAAAAAATAAAAATGAACATATCTCGATGCAACTTTTTAGAATAGTGATTAAAAAGTAAAAGTTAAGATTTTACTATTATAGATTTTAAATAGTAATAATTTATATAATTTAATATATACTATGTGGGGTGTGTTGAAAGAAAAAAAACTATATAATTATTTTTTTTTATAATAAAAATTAATTTACGTAATTAAATATATTATAGTTGTCTTTTTCTTCTGTTATAGGAAATTTTAATTTTATTTTAAAGAAAAGTGTATAGTAAAAAGACACTCGGCATTGTGAATTATCCAAAAAGAAAAAAAAAACAAAAATAATGGCTTGGAAAGTATTGCTTTAACTGGTAGGGAAATCTATGAGGAAAGAATCTACTAGATTTTCTTCCAAATATATACATCGTCAACAACAGGACAAGGAGGAATATGTGTGAATTTGAGGTAAAGTGTTTTTCTCGACCGACTAGCGTGTGACGTAGAATTATAAGTGCAATAACACCAATAATTTTAATTTTGTTAAATATTTTTTTTCTTAAAAATAATTTGAATTTAAACATTTTCTGTTCTCTCATAAGTTCTTAATAATAAATTAGAATTATTAAGGGTTCGTTTAATTCGTTAATTCGAAGTTTTAATTCGAGTTGAGATGTGACTTTATGTGAGAGTTTTTTACTATAATAAAAAAGTTAAATGTGACTTTTTCTAAGAGCTTTTTACTGTAACAAAACTTGAATTTTAAACTTAAATAGGTGAAATGAACGGGGTCTAATTTAAACGCGTAAACTAAACGAGACTTACACATTTGGTCTCTGAATTTTTATGACTTTAGCAAATGTAGCCTATTAACTTTTACTTTTGATAAATCATCCCTCAATTTGTGAAATCTTTTGCAATATGCCTTAACGGTGATTGTAAAAAATTGGAGTTCAAAAAATGCATTAGACGAAAAATTTTAACATATCAGTTCAAATGTAATATAAATTTATAAATTTTTCAGTATTTAATTCCTTAAATCTAATAAAATAAAACACATTCTAATAATTTGTCGAGTTTAAAAAATTAATTATCAAAAATAAAATTTTAAATGACAATTTGCTTCCACAGTTCTTTTAGAGGAAAAAAAAATATTAGGTCTGTTTGGTAACGTTTTCAAAAAGATTTTGTTTTCAATACAAAAATAAAAATGAGATTGTTTTAAGAATTATTCTGAGACTCATTCTAAAATTACGTTTAGTTGTTTTTTTAAGAGATTGTTTTGAGTATAATAAAAAAGTAAAATAATGTTTAGTTATAATTATTAATTAATATATTATAACTTTGTTAATAAATACTAAGAAATGAAAACATAAAAAAGAAAATAATTTTCAACCGTTTTCTAATTCTTTCATAAAAATTATTCTCAATATTTTTTATTTTATTTTTACTTTCTAAATATTTACTAAAAAAATATTATTTGAGAATTATTTTCATTTTCGTGCCTTAAAAATATGTAAAAATATTTAAAAAATAAATAAAAATTAATTTTAAATGCACCTATTATTCTTTTAAATCCCTAAAAAAACCAAAAAAGGAAAAAAAAAATTACAACGAACAAAAAAACTCGACAATACTCGCCTCGGCAAGTGAATCAGTGCGATTTGAAAAGTTTGATTACAAGAAAAAAGAAAAAAAAAAAAGGAAAAAAAAAGTAGCAAAGGAATATAAAAAGACAAAGAAAAGTTATTTCCTTTTCCCTTTCTAAAAAGAAATATATTGCGCTTAGATTCTAACACCACCTTCAAACATCAAAACCCTCTCTCTCTCTATGATTGTCCGTACACTTTCTCTCTCTGGAATTTAACAATATTTTCTCTCTCGCGTGGAGCTCCCTTCAGTCTCATATTGCACAATTTGTATATAAATTTCTCTCTCATATATTACCCAATCCTAGTTTTCTCCAAATATTTATCTATTTGGGGTTTCGAAATTGGCGGGAACCAAACGGCGAATTCGGTTCTTCCGATTGGTGAATTTGGCTCAGGATTTCCAGAATTCGGTGCTCAAATCTGAATTTTGAGGATTTCGCGATCGATTTTAATGGCGAATCCGTCTGGGAACCATCAAGAATCGAGCCATCCTTCCTCTTCGTTCAACGGAGGGAATCCGGCGAACGGGAATTCGGCGGCTCCGACGTCGGCTCCCGAGAGCGCCGGCGCCGCCATGGCCATGAAGCACAATCCCGGCATATCCATGGATTGGACTGCGGATGAACAGGCAATTCTTGAAGAAGGGCTTTCCAAGTAAGTATTAGCAAATATTGGGGTTTCCTTCCAATTCTTTGAAATTCTGATTCTTTTGAATGATTTTTTTCATCGGTTTATTTTCTTGAAATTTTGATTTTTTAGCAGCTAAATTTCGCTTGAAACCGTAATTTGAGTAGGAGACAGTATTTGGTGGATCTTAGATGGTGAAGGATAAACAATGCAAAAATGCTAATAGTTCAATTCACAACAAAAAGCTTGCCCTAAAGACTCCATACTTCCTCATTACAGATGGTGAAGAATATGTAAAAATTCTTATAGCTCGAAAATTTGAAGGGTAACTAAAAATTTGCGATCTATATATTTTGTGTAATTGTAGATTTATAAGCATTACTTGGTACTTATTTGTTTTCTTCTGTCACTTATCTTTCTCCTACGGGGTGCCACTAGTCAAATTATAACATGCAGGGTACAATTTTGAGAAATTTTTTTTTGCTCCCTGTCTTTAGTCATCTTTAGAGCATCAAAAGCTGAATTCTTGTGTTACGTTGATGTGACAGTTACCTTCTCTTAGTGTAGTTTTTCTGCCATATTGATTGTCAACGTGAGGCTTACGTGTATTCGTTATATTATGTCTCAACGAAAGATGGAAAAGATATGAATCATTAGTTGGTTCTAGGATTCTTTCTAGTTGGAGCTTGTAGATTTTAATGTAGTCAGCTATTGAAGTGGTTTCAAGTTAACATAATGGCTTTATTGGAAGAGTAATGATATCGGCAGATGGTGGAATTTTTTTGTTTACTTTTTCTATTTGGTTTGAATTTTGAAATGATGCCCATGTGTACTAAGGGCGCGTTTACTAAACTGTAAAGGAATGTAATGGGAAACGTAATGGGTTTGGAAAGGAAAGTAAAGTAATTGGATTAAGAGTCATTCATTGCCTTTCTTATGTTTTACTAAAATTAAGAATAACAATGTTAAAAATGTAATTACTAAAATGTCCTTTTATACAATTTGATAATCATTGGCTATAAAGTAATTCATTAAGGATAGATAAGTTAATTTAGCATTCATTCCCTTTGACAAGGAATCAATACTAAAGGGGGTGCAAGGATTGGCATTCCCTTTCCTCATTCCCTATATTTTGTAGGGCCCACTAAATCTTCATTACTAATTTTATAAGTAAAGACATTATTAGATGAGAAAGGGAATCACTCCTCAATTTCCCTTTCCCTTTGATGCAAAGTAAACATGCCCTAAGTGTATTATGCTGGTGGTCAAAGCCACTTTTCTAAGTTTATGATCCAGTTTGAAATTTGAATTCTGGCTTCAGGGACTTGTCTAAGAACAAGAAAGAGAAGTCTCATGTAAACATCATGGAATAAGTTTTGATCCTATTTGTGGGGATTCCGTAAAAATTCCATTTAAAAACGAGAAGGTTCGAAACAATTGGGATCTTTTGGAGATTGGATGCAGTTACTAATTCATGATCTGACAAGTATAGAATGAAAACTTCATTCTCGATTCTAGGAGAATTTTTATGAAAGCCTTTCATTTGCTTCTCTTTGATGGAAGTTTCATTTTCTAGAACGTATCCCAATTTTTGGCCAAATTCTTCTTCTGATGTTCGATTCAACCTCTGATAAGTAAGATATACCTTGGTTATATTTTATCTTTTCAACAAGTTTAGTAATGAGAAAAACGGCCCTATTGTTCCAAACCGATGAGAGAAGAATCTATTATTAGCTTTTCGAGAAATTTCCAGACGAACAATCTCGACGAAATCCGTCAATTTCTTGTTTTACTATGTTCAACTTTATGTATTCCTTTATCCGTAGAGTGCATTGAATGTACATAAATGGCTATAATGGAGTTTCTATTTGTATTAATGGCTACTCTAGGAGGAATGTTTTTATGCGGTGCTGACAATTTAATAACTATTTTTATTTTTCTTATTTTATTTACGCCTACTTTTTCCAATATGGTAACATGGTGTCGGTACTCGCAGATTTTCCACAGAATCAAGCATAATCCGGTATGCCAAGATTGCTATGCAGCTGCAAAACAAGACCGTTCGAGATGTGGCATTGCGTTGTAGATGGATGAATGTATGCTCTGCTTTCTTATCTCTCAATGCCTTCTTGTCTTAAGGCTATCTCCATGAGTTTCAATTGCTGAATGAAATATGGTTTGGTGTTTAGTGTTCTCCTAGTTTTACTGAATTCAAGCATGCAGAAGATTCATAAGTTGTTAATTGGTTGATACGGATCTATTTTTTGATTTTTCCCTTAAGGAGATCCCATGTTTACAGCCTATGCAAGGATGTTTTGAATGCTTCATGTATTGTTTAGCAATCCCCTGCCCTGCCTCTCCGTAAAAAAACGAAGATAGATAACATGTAATTACTAAAGGAATTATTGAGCCCTGCATCCACCAATTTACCTATCTTGGAATATTCATCATGCAATGAAATGAAATATCTAATTTCTCTTGGAGAACCTCCAGCTGAGATGAAGGATACTCCTTTTAAATATTTCTTACAGAGGAGCTATCTAAAGAACCGACCCTTTTAAATGTTTCTTGGAGAGGAGCTATCTAAATCTACCTACAACTTACCCTCAATTGAATTGTTTGAAGACAAAGTTACTTTAGGCAGCAAGGACGCAGATTTACTTGGCTTCTTAAACTACTAGCGTTTGAATATTTGCTTTCTTTTCCTTTTTTTTGTTTTTCGTTTTTTTTTTCTTGGATAGAATTGAATATTTGTTTCATGGCTTAAAAACCGTAGATCAAGCTTCAATGATGCTTTATTTTTTCCAGAAAAAGGAAAACAGCAAGCGAAGGAAGGAAGAGCATAACTTGTCAAGGAAAAGCAAAGATAAAAAGGTATGGCCTAGATCTGTTATTTTGTTCTATTTCTATCTTATACTGTATTTCAAGTGCTTGCTCTTGCATGTTTAATTGGATGGCTCATTGTATTTTTAGTTCCTTTTGACTTGCATGTAAATATGAGATAACAAGAGATGAGATTAGTTTATTTATCAATCATATCCATGTGTGTGTGTGTGTGTGTGTGTGTTTGTCTCTCTAGAGGAGTGGTGTTTATTATCTGGTTTTGGAATTTACTTCCTATGCCAAGCAAAATATAACCCCAAAAAAAAAAAAAAAAAACTTGGACTAAATTTCTTGTCCTAGTGAGATAGAACCTTTTGTTCATCCATTAATATACAATATATAACCCAATCAAAGCTTATGGATAATTAGATTGCATATTGGGATTTCTTTTATTTGCACTTGGGAGCCTAACAAGTGAAACAGAAATAACATAGAACTCTGTAACTTGCTGGTTTCTTTGCATGCTTGCATTGAAGTAGAACATTAAATTGCATCCTTTGCGAGTATAAACTTTATTTAGATAGATCCTGATAGACTTCCAAATCTATGATTGATGGGGAAACTGTTCTATAGTAATATGTTAAGATCCTGGTTGAGTCCCACATTGCTAAAGTATGGGCTTAGTATGTGGGTTTATAACCACTTGGGCCCCCTCTCCCTACAAGCTAGCTTTTGGGGATGAGTTCTACCCAAGGGTTATAACAATTGGTATCAGAGCATGCCCCTCCTCAGGCCCACGTTGGGGAAGGGGCGACCTGAAAAGGCTAGAGTGGGCCATCCAGAGTGGGCCGCCGTGGATGTCGGTGTCGGAAGCATGGTGGTATGTTAAGATCCTGGTTGAGTCCCACATTGCTAATGTATGGGCTTAGCATGTGGGTTTATAACCACTTGGGCACCCTCTCCCTACAAGCTAGTTTTTGGGGATGAGTTCTACCCAAGGGTTATAACATAATATTAGCATGCTGGCATAGGCTGGACCGGCAATTTTATTGCTGAATTGGAAATGAAATTTCCCTCGTAAGTCAAAGGGAAACGTCATGCCCACAAAGTTTGAGTTTCTGGGCAATTTTTCACAGAGGGCAATATCTTGAAGTATAACTAGGAAATAATCTCTGATGGAATCCCTGATGATAAATGTTAACCTTCTATATCTTCAGTTGGAGTGGTGCTTTCTTCCTTCTCTTCCCTTTTTAAATTTGATGACAAAAATGTATCCTTGTCTTGTAAATGGAGTAATTATTATTCATAGCTTGTCTGTCCGGTATATAAACTTGTATCATATATATATATATATATATATTCTTTTTCACTCTTTTGCTACGTAGTCTCATTTTCTTTACCTAATACTCATGGAGTAGTTTTGCTTTGTCTTTTAGAAAGAGTGACTGATCCTTCAGCAAAGTCATCTCAGTATGCTGCCCGATCCAATGTACCTCCATATGCTCCACCAATGATTCCTATGGACAATGATGATGGCATTTCATTCAAAGGTTGTGTCATTTGCTTTGTTTCTTATATGCAGAAAATGTTTCTGTTAATCTTATCTGTCGAGTAAAAGCCAAGTGCAAATATGAACTGACAAATGAGTTTGACCTCCTGTGTATTTAACCTGGTAGGAGGTAAATAAAAAAAAAAAAAGTAGTAGCAAAAAAAGAAGAGGCTTGGAGAGATACAATTAATCAAAGGTCAATATATTACCGTGATACAGATATTTGAATGGAGAGAGAGAAAATGAAAGTTGGATTTACTAGTTAAGAAAAACTACTAAAAAGTAATCTGATATATGGTTTAGATCAAAATGGGTATTGGTCAAAATGTAATGCCATTTGTCATTACCAAGTTTGTTGGAGTAATCATCTCACTCGGATATGAAATTTTGTCCCGTGGGTCCACTTTAAGAAATATGTATCCCCTCTTGAATCGTTTCGCACACAAATTGAAGGTATCATGGTTCTTCAACTACCAAATGCAAATCATCCTATCCCCAGGCTTAATTCGGATTCAAGTTATGATGCTTATATTTCTAATAGTTGTAAAAATATCTGGTTATGCATGGACTTTCGGATGTGAAATTGGAGTTCTAGAAAAAGTTGTTTGGAAGGATCATACCAGCCTTTGATTTATTTCTATCCCAGAAAGGAAAGAGAGATATTAAGATATTGATCTCAAAATTCGTCTGTATTTATGTATTAAATATCTTCTTTATTCATTTGCAGAGATTGGTGGTGATATAGGAGATCTTCTGGAGCAAAACTCCGATTTCTTGAATCAAATTTCTGTGAATATTGCTGGTTACCAGGTAAACATTTTACATGTTGTATTCATTTTGCATTGTTAGTTCTTCCTTTCTGATTTATTTCAATGAATGTTTCTGTTTCTTATTTAATATATACATATATATATGTATATATATGTACATATGTGTGTGTGTGTCTATATATATATATATATTTTCTCATTATTATAGCAATTATTAATCTATGGTTGAAATCTTGTTGTATCTAGAAACTCACAATTAAAGGAATAATGGTATATATAAATATTTATGGTTGTATTTAAATCATTTTCTTGGGGATCTCGATTATATATTTGTAGGCTACGACTCTATAGTACTATTAAGAATGATGCATTATGCGGTGCTGTGAAATTTTCTTACTCGATGTATATTCTATTTTGTTTTATTTATGCCGTTCTTCTTGTTTTCAGCTACAGGAAAACGTCAATCTCTTCTGCCAAACTCGAAGTAACATCATCAACATCATGAACGGGTATGTTGTGAATCTTTTAGAAGTTTATCTCATATTTTGATTTTGATTTTTTTTTAGTGTGTGCGCTTTTTTTTTGAATTTTTATTTCACTTCATCACTGTTCATTGTTATATCTGCTTATTATATTATTATGTGCTAAGACAAAGAACAATATTTGGTACGTTTGTTGTCACTGCTACAGATTATTTTCAACTAGTTTTTTACTTCGTCAATTTATGGTTTTCTTCCTGTTTCCTTTTGATTTTAGTTTTCATAGTTCAAGAGTAGAGAAGACCGACTAGAACACTTCGCCCAGTTCACTTTACCGTTTTGAATTTAGAATTCGAGTTTTGTTACAGTAAAAAGCTCTCATAAACAGTCACATCTAACTTTTTTACTAAGTTTTTTGCTACAGTAAAAAGTTCTCACATAAAATCACATTTCAACTCGAATCAGCAAATTAAACGGGCCCTTCAATTTCATTTGAAATTGAATCATCTTTCTATTTGCTTTTTCTTG